ATAAAAATAATAATAAAATTTTATTTATACCCCACCCTCCCAGCCAAGACTGGGCTCAGGGCGGCTAACAACAGATATAAAACAATTGATTAAGATACAGCTTAAAAACAAGATTACAGTGGTACCTCAGGTTAAGTACTTAATTCGTTCCGGAGGTCCGTTCTTAACTTGAAACTGTTCTTAACCCGAAGCACCACTTTAGCTAATGGGGCCTCCACTGCCGCCATGCGCCAGAGCACATTTCTGTTCTCATCCTGAAGCAAAGTTCTTAACCCGAGGTACTATTTCTGGGTTAGTGGAGTCTGTAACCTGAGGTACCACTGTACAGGAATGGGAGGCAAAGTACTGATCTATACAATGTCTCTGCATGTTCTGATTGGTGAGATACAGACCAGCCTTGGATTGCAACTCAAGCTCCTCTTGCAATGGTTCTGTTCGTTTATTTATTACATTCCTATTCCACCTGTTCCCCAATAAACTCAAAGGGCAGCATATATAGGGTGACCCCGTTTTATCCTTCATAACAACCCTGTGATGCAGCTTTGATGAAGAAATTGGCCGAAGCTCACCCAGTGAACTTCATGGCTAAATAGTAATAAATCCTTGCCTCTTCTGTTCCAAGTCTAATGCTATATCCATTACACCACACTGTCTCTACTCTACAAGCAACAAGAATTGCACTAGAAATGTCAGGCTTTTCAGATACCAAAATAAAAATTAAAGCATACCTTTAGGTTTCTGACTTTTGCCACTCTATCTTCAACTTCTACAATTACTCTTCTTCCTTCTGCGAGCTCTCTGAAAATGAGATGAAAACAAATTATATAACTATGAAGATACAAAGCTTTTCTGTATTAAAAAACAATGATATGTATTAAAACATTATGGGCATGTTTCAGAACTTTCAGGTCGCACTGGTTTAAACAGGAGTGAGTTAAGCGTATTTATCATTCTCCCAGTAAGTGTACCTGATAATGTTTAACTTCAGTCCCCTTATTTCTTCATTCTGCTATGTAATAACTTGCTTATAGTCCTAATTTTGCAATGGTCAAAATTGTTTATAGATGCATTCACAAACGACTCTGAAGCAAACAATACAATCAGGAGAATTAAGTTAATGGAAAACCATTAGTTCAGACACATACACCAACAAATATTCTATACATTTAGAACTTTAAAGGTAGAAAAAGTAAGAGAACAATAATAACCTCAAACAGAAGAATACTTTTCATGAAGAAAGATAAATGTCTTAAATTCAAATGAATTATTTTATTTTGACTTTTGAGAGATTTTCTCAAAGTACTTAGATATGCTTTAATAGTCAGATGATGACAGAAGCAGATGATGTAAACTAACTACCAAAGCTTGATACTATTTAGTTTCCACAAATTGAAGGAAGTTGTCTAGTCCATTTTTAAAGGCAAGTTAACACAGATTGCCTTTTGAAGGTAAATGCTGGGAGCTTAAATCTCTTCAAGAGTACTGGTCAAGGCAGAAAAAAATAATGCTGCTATGAGACTTCTCCATTAAAGAATACTGCAGGGGTACCACAAGACCTGCTCAGAAACAGAGAGTGATGTAAGGATGGGTAGGCAAACTAAGGCCCGGGGGCCGGATCTGGCCCAATCGCCTTCTAAATCTGGCCTGCAGATGGTCTGGGAATCAGCGTGTTTTTACATGAGTAGAATGTGTCCTTTTATTTAAAATGCATCTCTGGGTTATTTGTAGGGCAAAGGAATTCATTGATATATATTTTTCAAAATATAGTCCGGCCTCCCACAAGGTCTGAGGGACAGTAGACCGGCCCCCTGCTGAAAAAGTTTGTTAACCCCTGGACATAAGAGTTTAAACTGTGCAGAAACCTCAGAGCTATTCCCTTGTTTCATTTGCATTAAATTTATTTTGGTTTTCTCCTGATTAATGGCAGAGAGTGCAAGCCAGCTAAAACATACTCAGAGTAAGCCCAGTGAAATAAATAGACAAGCAAATTGTTTTGAATCATACTCATAGTATGATTTAGATGGATATCATACAGAGGCACTACAATTCCACTGTTACCTGATTCCTGGAAGCCGGTTATGGAAGCTGCATTACTTAGTTCCAGCATAAAAATGCAGGATTTAACGTTAAGATTTGCTTCTAACTTTCTGGATTGAGACATGGTTGCCCAAGTCATCTTAAAACGCTGCTTAATTCAAGTATACTTGAATTTGTTTAAAGGCTGAGAAACTATACCACTTAAGACATAAATGGTTATTTATTATAAGGGTCAGTGGTCCAAAAACATGACCCAAGTTAATAAAAAAAATGAAAGTGGTAAAACAAGCAAGCGGCATATTGAAATATTCAATCTGTTTCTTTGTTGCTGTTCTCTCTTCTCTCCAGAGGAGGAGTTACGTTACTAGTCATACAAAGTTTTGCAACCGCTCCAAAGTTTTCTCGCTCCCACCCTCCCCAACTTTCCACAGTACACATGGTTTTAATCATCCCATTAGACACAGGCACTCACTCACACAATGGTCTTTCCAGCACGTATGAGAACTGAATTTGCAATCTTGTACATCAGCTTTTAGGATGTGTGGAATTGCTAAATGCATAAACTCAGCCTGCAAAGCAGGGAGAATGAAGAGGATTGGTTAGCGGCACTGCTTGAGCCCATAGCACCCCTGGTGGGTGGACACAAGCGCAGGGAGCGGGGTGCACTGGGAGCTGGGGTGGAGGGAGAAGAAGCCCACTGCGGAACCCCAGCAGCCCCCCACACCCGGCACGCCTTGGCCACAGCCCCTCGCGGGGTCAGGGCTGATGGAGCCTGCTCCTCTGCGCTCCGGGTGCATATGCGGCTACTACGTGGGGACATGGCAAATGGTGCTTGTTTTGCCCCTGTGTGTGCCAGGTGCGCGGAGGGAGAAAGGAGGTCCATTTTGGGCCCACAAGGCAAAGTGGCCAATGAAGCTAGTCCCTCCCCTCGCTGCACGTTGCCGCCACTGATGGGCAAACTGCAGGGGGATCACAGCATTAGAGAGGGGGCAGTGATGCCATCCTCTTTAAACACTTCTGCCCCTGGTTCAGGCCTGACCTGGGAGTGAGAGCAGCTTATGCTGCGCCCACACCCCAGCCCAAAGACCAGCCAGGAGTAGCTTCCCTTGTTGTGCCCCTCAAAAATGTGCCCCAGGGCAACAGCCCCCCACGCCTATGCCACTGGTGCAGGTAGAAATATTACAGAAGTTTAGAAATGACCTAGTTCCATCTATGTAACATCAGCATTTCTATATTAAAATGGAAAGACCTCCATTACCGGATAGTAGAAACAGAGCCCCCAAAATTTAATCTTTAGCACTTTAGCCACTGTCCATTGGCGTAGCCGCAATATTTTTCTCCTCATATAATAGATGGGGCGATGACCAGCATAGCCTATTGAGTGCTTCAGAAAAGTGATGCCCCCCTCACCAATTCATGGATAGAGGTTGACTTGAACTAGCAATGAAATGTCCTTCATTGACCTGAGAAAAGCTAGTTTTGAGGGTCAGCAGGAACAGGCCACGTGGAAGTCAAGCAGCTCTGTTCTGCAACAGAATGGTACAGGACAAGTGGGCACCATCACTGTCCCCCAAGAACTGTGCCTAAGGTGGTCATATCACTCAGCCAGGATATGCATTTTACACAGCCAGAGTGTGCCCTCATCAAGAAATTAGTAACAACTTAAGGTTTTCAGAACTGGCAGGGCTCTGTCGGGAGAGGAGTAGCTTTGCCTTTTCAAGTTTTTTGGTAATTATAAAGTAATGTTAGATGAGCACTCCATCACTGAAATAGCAAACTCCTGCGAGGGCATAGAAACCAAGGACATCAAGTGATTAAAAATAACAAGTTTATAAAACAGCATGGGGAAATTTAGTTTTGCTCGTCTTTAGGCACCGCAAGTACAGTTTCTACGATTGTCTATTATACTTTGTGCTCCATGAAGCAATCACAAAAGCAGTGAACATGGCAACTGGAAAAAAACCAATCACATTCTCAGAGTCCTAAGTGTGCAGTTTGCGTGGAAAATGCAATATTTTAGCAACAAAAGTGGAGTCTTGGGAGAAGACAACTGGACCCCATAGCAATTGCACATTTAATACACTAGTATAAACTCATTGCCTGGAAAGGCCTTTAAATAATTCAACTGTAGCCAAGTTGTTATGAACTCAAAACACGTTTTTAATAATGCAGAGCATTCCTATAACAAATATATCATGTAGACAAAGCATAACGTACTCAGCATGCTTGCTTCATGGGAATAAACAAGTCTCACTGGAGTTCCGAGTACTATATACCTAAACAGAGACTGCCCAGAAATGTGCCACACTTCATATAGCCCCCTTTAACACAACCCGTCTCCATTTCAGGGGTGCCAACTTGAATAAAATACTGGGGGGGGGCAGGTCAGTCCCACCCACATAATCTATCACAAGACACGGTGTGCACACACCATTTCAATGGTGATGCCCATCAACTTTTGGGGGGATGCACTGCACCCTCAAATATTTTACTGGGGGGCTGAGGGAACCTCCGCCCCTAGGAGTTGGCTCCTATGCTCCATTTGCACCTTTTGCACTGATGCCCAGCCCTCCCTTCTCTCTGGCCACGCATTCCTATCACCCCTCCAGTTACTGGACAATATACTTTATAGTCCCACAACATCAGGCTGGGCGAGGCGATACCACGACCTTTCTTGCCCCATTACGTCGCAGCACCAGCTTCCCGCCCCCCTCAGCCGAGCCCAGCGCTTCAGTTCCTGGGCTGCCCAGGTTTTCTGCAAGCGACGCAACCATTGCAACCAGCACATGTTAACACCTGGCAGCTCCTCCACATAGGAGACGCACATAACGGTCCCACACGCGCACAAGCCGCGCTACGGTGCAAACAAGCTGGCGGCGCGTGCGTGCAAAAAGCGTCCTCTCCCACCCTTTGTGCACATAGACGTGTGTCTGCGTCTTCGAGGTCGACTCCCTCTCTTGCCACCCTCAGCCGCCCCAGCGCCGCCCCCGGCCCACCTTTTGCTGAGAGGCCGGACCCGCACCGCCACTTTGACATTCGCCATGTCCCGTCTTGAGTTGCAGCAGAAGGCGCCCCCTCCTCCCCTCCACCGCGGCCGCCGAAGCCACGACCCCGCATCACATCCCCGCCGTCCTCCTCCAAGCGCCTCGGCTCTCCGCAGAGCCCTGGGCAGGGGAAACGCGGCCCGACCCCGCCCAGCACAGCGCAGCTGCTCTTGAGGGAAGGGCCTGGCCGCCTGGGGAGAGGAGAGGAAATGGGGAGGGAGGGGCTGCTGCTGCTGGGCCGGTCTGAGGGAAGCGGGTGTCTCCAATTTCCCTCCGTTTTCCGTGAGGCGCTGGGTCTGCGGCTAAATGGCCGGCTGCTCCAACTTCTGGGCGGGTGGGGAATACTCCAAGTCAGGGTGAAACTTGAGAGAAGTTCATGGAGTATGGAAAGACGCTTAACTCGACAACTTTCCACTCTTGGCCTAAAGAGGGCGCTGGGTAACGCCATAATAATAATAATAATAATAATAGTAGTAGTAGTAGTAGTAGTAGTAGTAATAATAATAATAATAATAAATAATAGTAGAAAGTCCAGCAATATCTCACCCCAATGCTGGTGAGACATGTGCGTCAAAAAAGAAAATAAACCACATCTGGCTTCTCAAGAACAGCACCTGTGGTGAGGTGGATTCTGGCTCGCTTAATAACAACACATAGAACAAGGATGGCGTGCTTCCTTGAAGAACAAAAACAGGAATCTTCTTGGTGCATTTTATTTTATTTAGAAAGTGGTCAAGTGTGATTGGCACATAATTCTGTAGTAAGCAATCCTAAAGGTGTAGAATAAATCGCCTTTGCTGAATCAGGCCAAAGTTTGCAAAATCCAGCATTCTTTGCAAAAATGCCAGCAATTACTGGGCAATAGAGTCGACCAGAAACTGATCACCAATACATGGATACACCTGTAAGCCACAAGGAGCCTTCTGACCCCATGACTGATCTTACCTGACTGGCACTCTCTGCTTGCTGCTGTGACACACCTTTGTTCACCACCCGAACACCCCATCTTGCAATTTGAGCTTTATCTGTTGTGGGCCCACTGCTCTGAGCCTCATCTAACACCCTTGATGGCATGTTTCCTGGATCCTTGGCTGCTTTGGGTCCACTCTATAGTGTATCCATGAGTAGATGCTAAAATGCAGATTCTCACATATATAAAACTTCCCTAGAAAGATACCCAAACTAATACTGCACATAAGTAGAAGAGTCAGCTTATGTAGTATTACAACAAAATAATTTTTGTATTGCTACAAAATTCTTGGTAGCCACCTTTACAAGGTTCAAGATGATTTATACTAACAAAACCATTCAAATTTAAATTATGAAACTCAAAGGGCAAACCAAAAATATAAAGTGCAGCTAGCTACCCACTAAGGAGAAACCACACACCTCTGAGGGGAAATCATTCTAAAACCTTGGAGCAACTGATGAAGGAAAGGCCACATTATGTTCCTGATAAGTTGTATATGGAGCAAGGTCTGTCTCAATAACTAAAAGTGGCATAGTTAATACTAGGGAGGTGGTTGCAGAAATATGGGGCCCAGTGTACGAAATGCTTTTAAGAGGGAAGCACTAGCTTTTCATCTAGTAAGTATACTGGCAGTCAGTGCAGGTGAATACAATCACACCTTCTATCTGTTAGGAAAGGCAGAGTGTGTTCACACTGTACAGTTATCTTCATACTGCTAAAAATACTATTTATGCAGCACTTTTTCACTTTCAGAGAGCTTTAGTGTCTTTAAGGTATTTGCCTTCACAATACTTTGAGTTTAGTATTGTTTCCATTTTGCAATATAGAGCTAATACTGATATCTAGAACCTTGTTCAAAACCACACTGTGAGCTGATACTTAAAAGTTAAAAATAAAGTGGGGGTGTGGTGGAAAGCATGTAAACTTTCAGACTGTTACTGGTAACAAAAGGGAACCATTCACAATTATGCCCCCTAGTGACAAATGCATCAGCACACCAAGACTATTAGAGATGACCATTCAAATTTGAACAGTTACTAGTTATCTGTTCAATGTTGTCATCACGTGTCAGGAGGCAACCACTGTTATCTTCCTTTTTCTCAGACAGCATGTGCTGATAAATTATGTCCTGTTGTTGCATCATTTAAACTTTGTGAATGTACTCTAATAGAAATATCTGCTTAAATTAGTATAGTTTAAGTTGTCTGTTAATATCAGTAAGGTTAACTGCTTTAAAGAGAATTAAGCAGAAATAAATTCAGGAACCGATATGAATGTCTTTGAAGCATATTAAACTAAAAACTGCAAGTCTCTACACACATCCCACTGAATTCAATAAAACACAACTTAGTTCAAAGGAAATGTGTATAGGACTGGCTAACTGCATGGGCAAATTTACACATTTACCTACATGCCACTTAGGAAGAAACAAACATAAGGATTATGAAGAGTTAGAATTGCCGCCTTCAATGTATGAGAGTGAAAGAAAAACTACCCATCCATTTTTATTAAGAAAGCATGTTTAGGTTATAAACACACAAATGCCTCCTTGCCAGGTTGTATGCATATGGGCGTTTATTGTGGGATGTTCCCTGCTTGTAGTTTTTGTTTTAACATGTGAAAAGGAACACAGGTCCTGTCACTGGGAGAGAACTGGTATATCCTCAGGATGCTGTTTACATAGCAGCACATCTATCTTGTGCTTTCTCTCAGCGGCTGGAACAGAGACCAGATGGAGATGAGAGACTGATGATGAGCCATAACAAGCTATAACGAATCAAGCATAGCTGATGGAGGATTATGAAACACAGGCATTTGCTAGCACAGTGACAGGCTCATTTGTATACAGTTGCTTATTCTGCCCCCCCTCCCTTTCAAATACAAACTAAGGAAAAAGTATTTATTTAGTTTGTTTATTACTAACGGAATACTGTTTCCCATACTCTTCCTCTGCATTATTTTCTAGTACAGTATTCAACAGTATGAAGAGCAAAGGTATCAAGCTACAGATTTTCATATATGCACATTAGGACAGGGTGGAATCCAAAGCTTTCCCACCCATACAAAAGAGTCTATAGTCTGGTATTTAGATTGAAGTTTTGTACCAAGATATAAGTGGTCTCACTTTTTAAAATAGATAATGTTTATATAAAACATTTTCTATAAAATATAAAACATATGTACATGAAGCTGGTCTTGTTAAGGCGACATAATAAAATTGCTTCTTTAAAATATTCCTCAGAACCTCAAGAGGGCCATTTAACATCCGTTGTCAGTTTCTAACATAGCACTATTTCTATGTACAAATATATATTTCAGACAGACACAAGTGACTTTAAATGTGATAGAAGACATGCATTTTATCTACACACCAAATGGCTAAGTAGCCCGAATCGGGAAGGAAAAGGCATGGTGGGGAGTGTGTACAATTACAGAGTTATACTTCTGAACCAGGAATCTGATTCAGCAGTCAGCTGTGAGTTTTCAAAGATCTCCTTTACTTTCTCTCTCCACTCCAGTATTTGTTCTGCCAGTGCTTTTGTGTCTGTTACTAACAAGTCCAACTTTGTTAGTGCACTGTCCTGGAATGAAATAGGAAAACAAGTATTTTAGCATGCTATGAACTCATCACAGGGACTGCTGCTCAAGGGAAGTGAAACTAGCATACCTGCCCTGGCATTTGTCAACGTACTCCAGGAAAGATTCCTTCATATAGCTTTAGGGGTAGCCATATTAGTTTGTTACAGCAGAAACCCAAGAAATGACGCGGGTGGCGCTGTGGGTTAAACCACAGAGCCTAGGACTTGCCGTTCAGAAGGTTGGCGGTTCGAATCCCCCTAACGGCGTGAGCTCCCGTTGCTCGGTCCCAGCTTCTGCCAACCTAGCAGTTCGAAAGCACGTCAAAGTGCAAGTAGATAAATAGGTACCGCTCCTAGCGGGAAGGTAAACGCCGTTTCTGTGCGCTGCTCTGGTTCGCCAGAAGCGGCTTAGTCATGCTGGCCACATGACACGGAAGCTGTACACCAGCTCCCTCGGCCAATAAAGCAAGATGAGCGCCGCAACCCCTGAGTCGGCCACGACTGGACCTAATAGTCAGGGGTCCCTTTACCTTTTAAAGACTAAGAAATTTATCCTGGCATAATCTTTTGTGGAGCAGAGTCCACTTTATCAGATGCATTATGTAATCCTCACCTGGCAGATATGTAATGCACACATGGGTATTAAGAAATGCTAAGATTGCTATTACATTTTGTTATTAACTTATAATTCCCTAGAAAGAGCAACTCCCATATAGATCTGCTCGTTCACCAAGATCTTTGGAGGAGGCCCTAATGCCAGACTGCAGGGGCTCATCTTGTGCCCCTAGCCTTAGCAATGACCCTTCTTACTCTTAAGATATGGCAGGCACCTATTTAACAGCTTCTGCCAGCTTTTAAACACATATCTAGCTTTCCCTTGCTTCTGGTATCAGTTGAATGATACCTGACTGCTGTTAACAGTGATATGCTGGCTTTTTAAAATAGTTTTTATCGTAAACTGAATTGTTTTGCATTTAACTGCTTTGTTGTTCATTACTTCGGTACTATTTTAATGAGGGGATGTTAAATAAAGGAAAAATGTAAAAGTTGGAATTAAATGGCAATGAAAAGCAAAATAAAGTACAGTCCAATGGAACCGTACAGTTCAACTGTACAGTATGCAGAATAACTAGAGTGACCCTTCACAACTGCAATAATTAGCACTGACGGGAAATTAACACCTGTAGCAGTACAGAAAACCAGTCACTATTCAGACTCAAATAGATGGAATTGAACTTTCTGATCAATTGATTCAGCAATTGAAGCTCCTTTCTTCAAGGACAGAGATACAGATTCACAGTTTCTCTAATTGCAGGGGAAGCTTAGTGTGAAGTGAAGCAGAAGTTACAGTGCTTCACATACCTTATGTCAGGTACAGGCCTATTAGCCAGCATTCTGAGTGAGACAACCCAGGGAATCCATAGCCTGGCGAGATTTGAACCGGAGACTTCCAGCTAAGACTTCCATGCTCTTAGCTTTACTTTACTATCAAAGGAAACGAGGAAAAGTTATATGACAGACCACTCACCATGTTTTTCATAACTAGAGGTATTTGAGGAATGCTCCTTACTGTGGTTAGATGGGTTTCTAGTTTTTCAATGAAAGCCACTGCCGACACCAACAATTCTACTACATGCCTGCATGAAAAAGAAAAAATGTAACAGAAAATGATAATATCTTTGTGAGGTGATATTTCACACTATGGAGGCTAAATATATGTATCACCTAGGAATATTTCAAGTTGTTAGCACTGTAAAAGAGTAAATATAATCTGGGGGATTTGAAGGGGAGGGGAGATTGCTCAATAATTCACATGTTACGATTGTTGTTATTTTTTATTTATTGTTGTTGTTGTTGTTGTTGTTGTTGTTGTGTTTTGGTTTCTAACAGGAAACCCGCCCCCCGAGAAGAGATAATAGGAAGAGAAATTTCAATTGACTCTATACTGATGGTGCTGGAAACAGATACAGACAAATGACACTGAACCAATATATTACTTAGTAATGGCAGCAAATGTTTGAACAGCTCAATATTGGGAAAAAGCAGCCACCTACTATCGCTGAGTGGTTGATCTTTATTGGTCCCTAATGAAATGCATTAAATGAACATGGATGAGAATTAAGAAGGGAAAATAGAACACAAAAGCTATTTAGAAAATTTATTTTAATGTTATAGCAGAAACAATGCCTTAATATGAATTGGACTGAGCTGATAAATGATTTAGAATAACTTAGCTGTCAGACTAATGTAGATTTAGAAAACAGGCTGTGTATACCACAGGGTGATATAAAATAGGAACTTATCAGGAAACAGAGGAAAAAGAAAAATGTAATGAATAAAGTAAGGATTGTGTGTCTTGTAAGAATGTTAGTGACTACAGTTAAAATAAAATGCATTTGTGATACACCGAATATATGTTTGAAGTGTACCTTTGATGAAAATTGAAATAAAGGATGTTATTTGGTAGCAGAAGTGAACTGATTGTGGCTGTTTAGAGTTCTGCAGTAACTTGGTTTTTTTTTAAAAAAAAAGTCTTAGCATCATCATTTGCAGTTTTAACTGTAATTGGATTTTGTTCCCAATGTATTTTATTGATCTGGAAAAGAAACGAGGAGTACCCAACATGTAAGTAAAATAACAAAGCAGTTTGTTACCTGTGGTACATAGCTTCAATAGGCAAACTTTCTTGACGCACTGGTTTCATTAGCCTCTGCCTAAGAACCCATTTCTCTTTCAGCACTGCTTCTAGGTGTTTGTTCATCGCTTGCAGAGCCTGGCATTTCTGAGCTACAGATTTGTTGTTGTTTTTTTTAAAAAAGAAAAACTTTCAGATTTAAACATGAATTGAAGTGAGAGCAGGTTCTTTGTAAAACATAATTTTATGCTTTGAAACACAGGCTTCCAAAACACTGGTAGCATGCTGTGTGAATCTGTGATTGTCTAACAAAACTGTGTGGCCTTATAGAGCACCTGCAAGGTGAATCACATCAAGAGACCCCCATGGAAGCAAGCAGCAGCTGCTGAGAAATAAAGACCACAGGTTTCTAAGTATATCCTAGGGAATGCTGTGTACCCTTGATAACAGGACAAGTAACAGCAGACAAACTGGTGAAAAGGGTCATTTGTCCACCATTCTCAATCTTTCCCTCCAGTGCAAATATATGTGTACTGTACTCTCTATTAATGCAGGGTGACAGCAGTACGCCCAAACCAACTACTCATGATATGCCCACTGTGTTGAATGGGACCTGTCCCCATGTAAATATGTACAGGATTACAGCCTTAATGTTTCAAACGTACACCTGTGAATAACATCTTACATTTATTTATTTTTTATTCTTGGTTCTGCTCATTTCAGTCAACAATGGTAGTCTTTGTGAGCCTTTTCCCAAGATCTTGGGACTTTCCACCTTCACCCAATACATGTAGGATTGTCATAGTTATGGATGCAATGTTTAATAGCTTGCATGGAATAATGAGTTTTGGGTTTTGGGGGAATGGCGTCCATGTATGGCAGGTATGGCAAACCTCCAGCTTGCAGGTCTAATTAGGCCCACCTCAGGTCTCAGTCTGGCCCATTAAGTCTGTTTCCCTGAAACCATACCAACCTGCTTCATACCCAACCTCTGCCCCCCCAGACGTTTTGAGACTACAATTCCCATCATCCCTGACCACTGGTCCTGCTAGCTAGGGATCATGGGAGTTGTAGGCCAAAAACATCTGGAGGGCTGAGGTTGAGGAAGACTGCCCAACATCATATGTGACATTGGGTGAGGGACACACAGCTGTCCACGCACAATTGGGAACCCTAAAATGCGCTCCTGGTTGTGTATTGGCAAGGTAGCCTGAGTCACACAAACAAGCTGGAATCAGCTGTGCTACAGAGCTCCCCACAGGGAACTCCGTAGCACAGATGACCACCACAGAAAGCAGAGCTTGGAGTCAGTCAGCACCAATCAGCAGACTGGCAGTAACTTCAACCTCTCTTGGATTTTCCTTTCTAGAGTGGTTTGAACCAATAACCTGTCAAAATGTTACACTGCCTGCCCTCAAGGTGGAAGAACCTAGGATCCACCCCACTGGCCAGATCCAGTTCCCTACCCCCTGGTGTATGGATTTTCCTCATGCAACTTGCCTAACTACTCATCACTGAAGTGGTATCAGGATAGCGTGCCACCTGCTGCCAAGCCAAATTGCTTCCCAACCTAGGGATATGTTTTTGTCTTTTCTCATAGTCTATGGCTTGGATGGTTGGCTTAAGTTGCTCACAGTTGTCTTAAATGAGACACTCAGGATTCTGAATGAAATGCCCAGTTCAGCATGCACGCAATGCATCTATGAAGTTGATGAATACAAACACCTCTAATTACTTGCTTCCTTTCTCAGGGATCATTCCTGTTCAAACCTTTTCACTTTGGCTGCTATATGCTTCGTCACCTGTTAAGTGTGTTAAGCATGCTACTTCCTCAACAGACTTCTTCTGTTCTCCTGTTGCAGCCTCCCATTCACCCAAAAATCTGTTTTGGAAGGTTGGTGGGTCAGATGTGGGGCGGCAGCAGGCTGCAAAGGGGAGGAGAGAAAGGTAGGTCCCATTGTGTCCACTGGCACTGTTATATACTGAAGTTCTCACCCTGGGCCAGCAGGGGGATACTGTAGATAGTTTTCACTCAGGTCCACATATGCAAATAAGGGATTGAAAGTGACGTTCAGTGATTGGATAGTTACAGAAAATGGTTACTGTTGTGTTCTAGTAGAGCTCTATATAAGCAGGCTGGCTGAACCCTTCAGTTCAGTTCTGTTCTGGCCTGTGAATAAACAAGAGCTGTTTGAAGAATCGCTGTGTCGTCTGATATGTTCACCCACAACTTAACAGGCACAATGCTGGATCTTGTTCATAGATGGCAGCTTTGTGACTCAACCAATCTCTCTGACACCGGTATACTTACAGCAGTATGACGATGTGAGGCTTTGTCTAAATAACTCTTAAGATTGATCTTCTAGGAGTGCTGTTTTGGGGATTAAACAATAGCATGAAACAAAATACTTACTTAGGTAGAATGGATGAGTAATGTCTGCTGTATCTTTTTCCATCTGCAGGATTTCAGCATCTAGCTTCATCTATACACATTAAAATAGTTACACTTATATCCATGCAGTATGTTTAATGTATATAGTGCATTCATAACTGCTTTAAAACCCCCAACAACCCTGACCATTTTCAAGTATTTTTATAAAAGTAATTCTTCTATGCTTGCAGGAACCACAACATAATTTTATTTCTGATAAGATTTGTGGGAAGTTTATTTTTTAATGTATCTAACTGAAATCTCATAATTTCTTTTTAAAAAATAGTTCAATTTATCATCCCTTAATTCCAGCTTTAGTGAGACTTCCAGTCTCTTAGTTGACTTCTGTTTTCCAGCATCCAAACTCTGTAGCTGCATAGAACACAGAATCTGTTCTAGGTGGAACTATTACAGGCTAAACTCCTACTTAATGCAATTTTCATGGCTATGTCACTAAATCACATCTCTGTAGAAGAGGATTAGGTGTGATAATTTGACAAGCTTCTCAACCTCAGTTGAGGCACCAAAGAACAAAGAGGGAGAGGGAGTCCTGGCTAAAAAAAATATATAGGATTGATTTCAAAATATATTGTTCACATGATAAGAAGTGCTTCTTACCAAGTGAAAAATGTATTTTAGAAAACATTATCTTTTGAAACCAGGCAAAACAGAAAAAGAAAGAAATGCCGAGTTATAGTAAGGGGATATCTGGTTTGGCAGTAGTACATACGATCAGGAGCTAAAATGAATTAGTGGTGCAGTGGCCAAAGAAAAAGGGAGGGAGGACGCAAATGCAACTTTAAGCTGTTCCACTTTATCTTGTCCATCTGAAAAACTGTCCAGTTCTGGGCACCACACTTTAAGAAGGATATACAGACAAATTAAAAGAGGTGAAGAGGAGGAAAATGAAGATGATTAAGGGTGAGGAGGGCAAATAGTTGTTCTCTCCTGCTCCAAAGGGCAGAACTAAGTTACAGTAGGGTTGGTTTCAGCTGAATATTAGGTGAAATCTCTTAAATGTAAGAACAGATCAACAATAGGAAAATTACATAAGGAGGCAGTGGCCTCTCCCTCAGTGGAGGTCTTCAAGCAGAGGCTGGACAGTCATCTGGTGGAGATACTGTAGCTCTGGATTTCATGCATGGGCCTAGATAGCCTGCAAAGCTCCTCCAACTCTATAGTCCTATAGTACTGTTTCACCACTATGAAATCATTTATTACAATTCAGAAGAAATTGTATGTATGGCCTATTCAGTAGAGCTCCTATTCTGATGCTCAAAGATTATTTTACCTCACTGATTTCAGCTTGGAGATCAGCAATTTGTTCTGCCTCCGAGAGGCGAACAAAGCAAGGAGCTGGTTTTCCACATCTATCCAGAGTTTCCTGAAACAGAAACATGAAAATTCTCAATAAAGATAAGCAATTCAAGCTTCCTTGAAATTAGGGTTCCAGTCTTAAATACATTTAGGTTGCAATCCTAATGTCTTTGCCTGGAGAAATGAAGGACAAGCCAGTGAAAATGAATGATGGGTTGTGTGGAGGACCAGTTCACATTTCTGAAATTGTCACCCTTACATTTATGAGGGGTATTTATTAGGTTGTATTACCTCAGTAATGGACTGGATGAGAGCCAACAAACTGAACAAACAATCCAGATACTACTGAGGCACTGTTTGTGGCTGGTTTCCCAGACCAGATAGGTAGAAGGTTGCCTGATCTCGATGGGGGTTACACTTCCTCTGAAGGAGCAGGTACCGGTATGTAGCTTGGAGATACTTCTGAATCCATTGGTGTTGCTTGAGGCTCAAGGTGGCCTCAGTGGCGCAGAGTGCCTTCCATAAGCTCCAGCTGGTAGCTCAACTGCACCCCTAACTGGACAGGGATAACCTAACTACTGTTGTCTATGCTCTGGTAACCTCTAGGTTAGATTACTGCAACGTTTTATATGGCTGCCTCTAAAGATGGTGCAACTGATACAGAATTCAGCAGCCAGCTTGCTCACTGGGGCATGGCAGTTTGAGCATATTACACCCATCCTACTTCCAGACCCTAACACGCATCATTAAGGCCTGTGTTCCACTCTGCTGTTTTAATGATGTTTTCAGGTCATTTATGGGTTCAGCACAACACACACATGTGCAATTGCACCTCCATCAGACGCATGTAAATCGGTCGTTGCCTGTATCTGCTCATACCTCCAGTCAAGCCTTTTCCCTCCACTTTGGGGAAGGGCTGTGGCTCAGTGGCGGAGCATCTCTTTCGCAAGTGGACACAGAAGATGCCATGTTCAATCCCTGTCATCTCCAGACAGTGCTGGGAGGGAGCCCAGACTGAAACTATGGAGACGCACTGACAGTATTGAGCTAGATGCATAAATGATTTGACTCAGTATAATGCAGCTTTCTATGTTTCACTCTGTGTAAGTTACTTGTGCTCTGGAACAAAAGTCACTTCTATGGAATTAAAAACGAGGCTTACAGATGCACAGACCCCCCATTTCCCCCTACTGAACTTATGGGAATTCTCCATCCACAGTTATGCAGAGTGGAGTGGACCAGCCTTTTAGTATTTAAATAACCATGCAGTTTTCCTGAGGATGCAAGATATAAAGAAAGGAAAAAAAGATACTTCGTTTCCATTTAGGAACAGAATCCAATCCAGGTGGTCCAGAGAGCTACAAGAGCTGACAACTATAAAGCTACAACTAGGGTGGAAGTTAGTATTTTTTGCCATCATGAGCCTGTTTCTTTCACAGTAAACCCATCACCTAGATGTACTTTTAAGCCAAAGTAAACACACCACAAGCACACCAGCGCTGTTGCAGCCGGACTAAAGGAACAAGGACAAAAAGCTACGTTTCCAAAAGGTGTCAGGTAGCAAGGCTACAAAAAGGGCCTCCCTTGACTTCTTGGATTAATGCTGCCAGCCAGGACAGAACACACTGGGCGGCCTATGAACATACCGATATTATCAGCATCTTTTAAAAGCAGCAGGCAGCTTCAAATACGCCTTTTCCATCCCATTGCAATCGAATCTAATAAACTGAGCAGCAGCAAAAGTCTGGGCAGAAACGAACACATTGCAGACTATGGTTTTGCACAGCGCGTATTTACACATTTCAGACGATGGTTTTGCGTTACGTGTATTTATACAACGTGGGGAGGGAGAAAAAGCGCGGCCCGCCTCACCTGGGACACCACCCCCGCGGACAGGCAGCCAGCCAGCAGCATCCCAGCCGCCGACGGCTGCACAGGAGCCCACGGATTCGAAGAAGCCATGGCGAGGCGAGCATCCGCCGCCGCGCGGAAACTCTCTCGCGCGCCTCGCCTTCGAATGCGAAGCGCCTCCTCGCGCTTCCTTTCAAACTCGCGCCGCCATCTCGAGTGCGGGCAAGCGGCTCACCGGCACATTAGACGAGGGGTTACTTATATATATATTTGTGGCAGGGAATGAGGGACCCCCGACATAGGAGGCGCAGCCCTCCCTGGCGCCTACTTATAGCGGTACCGGGCTGCGGCGAGACCAGATACCCTGTGGAGCCCAACGGCACCCGGGCGTCGTGGCCCTCCCCGCCATGTTGATTGTTGGCGGAAGTGAACCCGGCCGTGTGGGTAATGTCCACCCCCGGAGAACCTCCACCTCAAGCTTATTCCGGGCAGAGGCTTCGCCATTATTCACGTTAGGCGACGGGGTTGGGCTGTCATCCGGGGCTTGCGATTCGCCGTGGGGGATTAAAAACAGTGCGGCTGGCGTTTCTGGTACTGCGTGTGCTTGTTGCTAGGATGCGAAGCGGCGGCGACCGTAGTTACAGGTAAGACAAGCTCAGGTGCTTGTCCACCTCTTTAGGTCATTCTCCCGAAAAAGCCCCTGGTTCCCGTCCTCCTTCCTCGGAGGGAAATCGGACTAGGGCAGCAGGGATGAGACCCCTCCGTTTAGAGCCTGTGCATCTTTACCTAAAAGTAGCTGCACCTGGGAAGTAAAAACTCAGCTAAACTGTGTGGCAGCGCATCTGGGCAGCCCACTTCAATGCGTTTCTACTAGGAAGTAAGTCCTGTTTGAATGCGATGGTTCCTGTTCCAAGCCAGTATCCTGAAGCTTGCAGCTTAGTCGCATTGAGTTCAGTGTGGCTGACTTCTCCGAGCAAAGATAAACTTGGGCTCTTTCCCTCTAACGCAGAACAACTTGGACAACGCCCATCTTAGATAAATATGCTGCTTTGTTTTCCCCTCTCCACCCATAGTCCGCCTGGGTTGTATCCAAGTACTCGGAGTAGACCCATTGAAATTAGTGTTAGTCATGTCTATTAATTTCAGTGGGCTTACTCTAAGCATCGCCTGCGATGGATACAGCCTCTTCGCTGGATAGAGATGGCATATTGTTTGATAGCCATATGTGGAAGTGAAAAGTTAGGCAGAGTGTTGTTATTTTCAATTCCACCAGCTGAGATGGAGGAAGATGGGGCAGCTGGGTTTCATCTTGTCCTCTTTATTTAGATCAGAACTGTCTTCACCTACCCACAGCCTCTCTTCCCAGCTTCAGCTGAGAGGAGTGAGGAGGCGTCTTGGAGAGCAGGCAAAAGCTGGTTCTGGGGAACTGAGACACAATTGTTTAAATACTGTTATTGAGTGAATAAGGATTTTGTTACATGCATATACCGGTACTTGGGTGGTGCAGAAAAGAAACAGTGTTGACATTGGGAAGTTAAAAATCCATAGGCCTTTGTGATTCCTATAGCCGTGGAACCTAAACTTGAATCAATTATGTGAGCTCAAATCTGCAGCCTTTGTTTGCAGTACTGTATTCTGTAGAGTAGTTGGGATTGAGGAAAGAAAAAATGGAACCATTGAGGGGTTAAATATTTTATGGTATCTTCCACTAACATCTATGCTTTTGATCCTTTAAGAATGTGAATGTATTAATCTCTGTTACTCATCACTTGATAGTCTGTAATTTCCAGGAATAAATATCAAAACTATGTTTACAAAGAAATCTTTTTCTATGCTGGCTCATTAGTTTAATAGTTTGTGAGCTTGGTTGAGGGATATGTGCTAGAACCTGTTGTGCAAGTACCTTTCCACCATTCTATGTGACTGCTGGTATTTCTTTGTGGCCCCGTTCACATGACAGGGTAAGCTGACTGTGACTTACCTGGACTGTGCAAGCGCACAGGCTCTGGGAAAGGAGCTTATAGCTACTTTACTCCAGTTGTTTTTTGCTTAGCTAAACCAAAGTTTGACTTAACGTGTTGTCCAAAACCAAACTTGTGGTTAAGATTTCTCCTCAATAACCTTAGCTATAGCCAAGCTGTGTTTTTTTTTTACTGTGTACTTATTTTTTTTAACAATTGTCAATTCTGTCTTGTTCTTAATGGATTTGTAAGTTGCTTTGAGACGTTTTCTTGTGAATAACAATGAATAAATCTAATACTCAAGAAGTAAGCCCCTGTGAATGTGACTTATTCCCTAGTTTGCATATGCTGAGCCTAGGGTAGACTATAAATAAGTTCTCGTGGCTTCTAACATTATAAAGCTTGTTACTGGATGGGCCTGCCTGCCTGATTACATAACATACTTAGTAGAGCTTTTTCTACAAGGCTGAATAAATTACAGTAAAAACCTGGGCATGTCTACTCAGAAATACATCCCATTGAGTTCAGTGGGATTTACTCCCAGACAGGTGCATGTAGGATTGCAGCCTTATTCTTCTTGGACTACGAGCATCAGCATGCTGACCTGGAAACAAATTGTTTTCAGTACAGCTTAAAACACATTCAGTATTGCAGTCCTACGTACTGCATACGCCCATATTTCCATATAGTTCTTTTTCATTAACTGTCCAGCTCAACCTCTATGTCATGATGATCACATCAACTTACGCTTAATTTATATCCCCTGAGAAATAGGCCCGAGTGCTTTTCTTTTCTTGTAAAGATGATTGCGCTGCTGGGAAAAAGTGACTGATAATCCTGTATCATAAGTGTTATAAATTTACCTTTTAATAGAACATAAACTTATGTTGCCTAATGTGGCATGAATGAAAGTGACTCAGCTGGACTTGTGCTACACACATTTGTTTGCATCTGATACAAGAACAGGAGGATGGGAAACAGTGCCTTAAAAGCGCATTTGGAGACAGCACAGAAAACGGGAGTATTCCAGCTGACGGGAAAAGGCCTTTCTGAGGTAAAGACCTATATCATAAACATGTGCCACAAATGATTTTATACTGCATAACGCAAGAGACAGAGAGAAATATTTGTGCTTTGAAGAGTTTTTAAATTTTTGAAATCAATTTTTGATAAGTTAGTGGGATAAGAAGCATAGAAATGTCAGTTGAATGGGTTCTAATTAATGTATCTTATCCTAGCTATAAAAATAAAAGCTATTGGGTTTAGTGAGGCTTATTCCCCAGTAAATGTGTTTTGGATTACAACTTTAGACCATTGCTGCTCAGGTGAGATAGGATGGGAACATATAAAATTTTGCATTGCTTATGCTACCTATCATAGTGGACATGACATACTGTGATAAATTTTGTGTAATATGTAGTTTAATTGTCAATTTTGGAGGATATTCCCAAATTAAATTGTCCCTCTAGTCTTTTCACACCATTTATAGTTTTGTAATTCTGTCCTGCAACCTTATAAACCTAAAAAGCTCCTTGCCTGCACCTTTTATTATCTTACCTACCCACATATACTTAATGCAATTTGTGTCGTTCTGGAATTTTCACATGATTTCTGAATTGCTTTTTCAGTTTCCTGAAGATCTGCAGAAGCTTGCAAGTAACCTCAGAACAATAGATTTGTCGAACAATAAGATTGAGGTCCTACCACCACTAATGGGAAAATTCTCTGTGTTGAAGAGCCTTGCTTTAAATCACAACAAGCTGAGTAAGACTTCTTAAATAACTCATCAGCTTGCTGAAATAAATTCAGTGGGACTTAGTGACAGGAAAAATATATATTTAGGATTGCAGCCTACATTACCACAAGTTTAATTCCATCATTTTCTTTCAAAGTAATAGAGATAACTCAAATATTGGTTAAAAGCTTTGCAGCTTAGTAGAGGATGCTGTAAAGCTTGCAAAAACAGATTTTGTCACCATTGCGATTCCAGGTTGCTAAGATACTCAAAATTATCTCATCTTATTGAAATGCTCGTGACTTGTGAACCAAGCACTTAACTTGAAAAATTGCCTTTAACCATGCCCTACCTCTCCTCCTTCATTTTCCACAAGCAGCTAGAGTTCCAAAGAGAAGGTAGAGCCTGCACACTAATTCGGGCAATTGTAGCTTATCCATTCTATATCTTCATGTATTGTAAGATAAAATGTTGACTGTATCCTAACACAATGGGGTGCTGTATGATTCCAGAACAGTGACCTTTATACTATAATTGTTCTTTCCTCCGAACAGCTTGATTTTATTTGTTTATATATATATTTTTGCTAGCTGCACTACCTGAAGAGCTGTGCAAGCTGAAAAAATTAGAGGCGTTGCATCTGAACGGCAACCAGCTGACGCAGTTACCGGCTGCCTTTGGACAACTTTCGGCACTAAAGACCCTGAGTCTTTCTGGAAACAAGCTCCGAACTGTACCTGTCCAGCTCTGCAGCCTGCGTCACCTAGATGTGGTGGATCTCTCCAGAAATCAGATCCAGAGTGTGCCAGATACAGTTGGGGATTTGCAGGCCATTGAACTAAACTTGAATCAAAACCAGGTCTGGAAACTAGTTTTTGTAGGTGTATATCATTCAGGAGGAAAGAGCTTCTCAAAGCACAAGCGTCACTTAAAATTCTACTGAAACGGGGATCTCACTTAGAGCTGCAAGCAAAATTTAACATATTCCTTTTGTTTTGTTTGCCCCTATGGGAAACCTGCTAGGTTATTCTCTATTTTGTAACACAATTTTCCATTTGTTGAGAAGAACGTTGTAGCGTTTATGCTTTGAACACCATGTCTTTCTTCAACCAGTCTTAATTCCATTCCATTAAAACAATACACTAGTTAAGTTACATTCAAACCTTGTACAAGTGGAAGACAGCTCATGCAGCTGAACCTTCTGTTTCCCCCTCCTTTCCCCCTGTAGCCTCCAAAAAGCCTTTCTAGAGGGTTAAAGGGGGACTGATTGAATATTGGATGCTATATTTGATGAAGCTACAGTGGGAGGGAGGAAATAACCTGAAATCTAGCCTGGGTGATTCCTGCCCCCCTTCGCATACACAGAGAGCATAGCGCACAATGTTCTGTAGAGAGGCTTTTGGGGAAGGTGCAGGAAAGAGAAGGGAGAAGAACACAAAGCTGTTTGTACAACACAGTTCACCTCATTGGAGGCAGTTCTATAGGGAAAATAGATTGCTTGAAGTTATGGAGTTGTTGTTTTTTGGTTGGTATTAT